GCAGCAGCCCCAGGAGCAGCCCCACCATAAAGAGGCCGACGCTGCGCACCAGCATGGTGACCAGCCCGCACAGGACCCCGATGCCCAGCCCGATGCCCACCGAGGCCTCCACGCTCAGCTGTGTGTCCAGCACCCGCTCCTTGTAGCACAGCATGAAGATGATGATGGAGCCGAACATCAGCCCCGTCAGGAACATGACGGCCTTGAAGCAGCGGTAGCCTGTGGAGAGACCACCACAGTCAGGGGGGTGGATGAACAGGACCCCCCCGGCTCCCTGCCGCTTGTCCCACCAGCCGCCACGCTGGCCTGGCTCACCGAAGAAGCAGTAGATGATGCCGAAGAGGCAGCACATGGCGCACACCACCGAGGGCACCACCTGGTAGCGACGCTCGATTTCCTGCTGGCAGCTGTGCCCCCAGTCCTGGCCTGGCTCGTGCGGCAGCAGCTTGAACCGCAGCGTCTGCACAGTTGCAGTCATGGCTCTGGGGACTCCCGGGAGAGGCATCAAAATCTCCGCTCCTGCCCCATGGCTTGCCAGCAAAACTGCGCCCCAGCACCTGCCCCAGCTGGTGAGAGAGAGAGAAGGGGGATGGAGGCACGGCTGGCACATGCCCGAAGGCAATGCCCACCACTCAGCACCCAGCCACCAGAGAATCCGCTCTGACCCCTCGCTACTTGCGTGGGAAGGAAGGGAATGGGGGAACAACCTCATCTGCGGGGCCACAGACTGTCACCCAGCAGGTGGCTGCAGGGATGCACCATCCCCAGGGAGCCTGCCTGCACCCCCAGGGAGCTTCGTTGCTGGGATGCGGCGCTTTATAATTTGTCTGTGGCTTCAATTTCCTGCCCCTGGCTCTCCGGTGCCCTTTCCCTGCTCGATTAAAGGGAGACTTCCACTACCTGGTATTTTCTGCCTGTGAAGTAATTATGCTCAGTAATTAAGTCACCCCTCAGTCTTCTATTTTTATAGGCTAAACAGATTGAGCTCTTAAAGCTTGTACTCTAAGGCATTTTCTCCAATCCTCTAATCATATTTCTGGCTATTTTTCATCCCTGCTCCCGCTCCTAGTGTCCTTGTAAAAACAAAGCGGGCCCCCATGGTGGATCCAGCCCTCCCACGCTGACCCATGGGGCCAGAGTGGGACCAGCCCTGGTGGGCTCTGCCCCTTACCCAAGGGCTCACCCGTAATGCCATGGCCGCGCTGGGACGCTGAGCAGGCGGTCATCAGGCCCCCTGCGGCGCTTGTGCAGACGGAGGGGTCATAATCCCCCGCAAAGACTGATCCAGCTCCAGCTTAAACCTAATTACAGTGGCCGTCTGCCTGCTCCCACCTGGAGCCAATTCCAGCATCTCTTTGCTCCCCTGGTCCCCTTCCTGGCTTGGTCGGTTTAGGATGGGTTTATTGTCACTGGTTGTCTCCAAGCCAGTGCCAGTCCTTCCAAGTGCCACGTTAAAGCAGCCAGCTCAGGACGGCTCACAAAACCAGCACACCGAGAACGGGCAGGGGAGAGGATAGAGGCTGCAGTCACGGCTCCCTCTCACCCAGCACCCTGCTGCTGCCTGGGCCGGGCTCCACTGGCACCTCTTTACCCACCACCAGCCTCCTCCCTCTCTCCCTCCGGCTGGGGAAGGAAACACCCGACAGGGCAAATCCCCCTGGGGGAGCCGAGCATGGTGCTTAATCCCAGGGAAGCTGCCGGGCAGGGAGCGGTCAGCCAAGCACTGGGCCCCTGCCCGCCCTGCCGGAGCCCCGGGGGGACGCTAAGCAGGATTGGACTTTAACCGCAGAGCCCAGGAGCAACGCGCTGGCCCCGGCTGCCTCGGTGGGGACAGGCGATGCCCTGGGGGGTGAGAGCGGGGCTGTGCCCGGCAGGCTGGGGATGGGGCACGGCTTGGCCGGCTGGCCAACGTGTGCATGGCTCGGTTTGGCATGGCTTGCCATGGTTTGGCATGGCTCGGCACGGCTTGGTTTTTTTCACCGCTCGGCATGGCGCGGCATGGCTCGGCGAGGCTCGGCAGAGCAGAGGGAGGGCAACGGGGTGCTGCTCTCTGCCTCTCAACCTACGGCAGGACGGGTCCAGGGCAGCGGGGAAGGGTCACCTGGGAAAACCCGTCACCGGCAGGGCTGCAGGCAGGGTTGCAGG